TGGGGGTAGGGCTGCAACTAACGATTATTTTAAAAATCGATGAATCGGACGATTATTTTTTCGATTAATCGATGAATCGGACAAAAAATATTTTTTATATTAACCTCTTTATTCCAAAATAAACATTATAGACAGAACAAACAAGCACACAAGTACAGGTTGCTCATTAACTGTACTGGTGCAATATGAAAAATAAATTTTTGTGTTAAAACTACGCAAACTTACATGAGAAATGTAGCTGTACATCCACAAAATATAGGCTACTTTGTTTCATAAAGCGCAAAAAAAGACATTTTTGTTTTTAAAAGCCTCTAAGGGGTTCAAACAATAGGCCCCCCCATTTCAACAAATAAGTTTTTTTTTAGACTAGAAGAGTTCTGCCTTTTAAGACAGGAAAGTATAGCAGTTAAAGTTGCTACTTGAGAAAATACTGAACCATAGAGATAAAAATAGCCCTGTGATTCAAATTATAAATTGTATTTGGAATAAAAATGAGAGAACTAGGGGTGCTAAAAAACACATCCTCCAAAGACAGATATTTACATGGAAATGTGGCAGATAATTAATTGACATATTACTGATCTTGCTGGATTTTATTCTGCTTTACTTCCATAAATTGCAGGATCTTCTTTACTTTATCTTTGCCAGAAGATTTAAACTTTAAAAGCCTTGCCCTCATAATTTGCAAGTTAATTTATTTATAAAGTAAATGTAAACGCTGCTTAAGCTAATTCAAATGAAATTAAAAGTAAAATAAGTAGCCAACCTTATCACTGTCTGTAACCTACTAACACGGTAAGGAAAGCATCAGATGAGCTACCTGAGAAACTAACGTTACGTTTCCCCACTTTAAAACCAAACAAACATGGTGGTTCCGTGCCATGTTAATTTCTTTTGAAAAAAGTTGCATGTTATCACTTTTTTCACTTTACAAAGCGCAGGCTATTTTAATTATTGTGATCAATCTGCGCCGTCAATCCCGGTGCATGCGCGCTTCATTTGCAGTCTGGACGCTGAGGCTCTGAATGCAGCTGAGAGGGACTCCTGCGGGAGCGGGTGGAGGCGCCCCACGGCAGAGTAGGAACGATACATGCTTTCACGTAAGAGTCTCCAAAAGCCGCCAGTGAAACCGAAAAAAGTCGCCAGATTTGTCGCTAGTCGCTTTTTTGAAAAATAGTCGCTGGAGGGGTCTGAAAAGTCGCTGAGTTGGCAACACTGCTCCTGCGGCGCTGACTCGCTCTGCCATATTTTTTTTTCTTCCTCTTTCAGTCAAGAGGCAGTGATGACGGCGCGGCGGATGACGCATTAATCGCGCGACACAACTAATCGATGATGAAATTCGTTGCCAACGCTTTTAAAAGTCGATTTTTATCGATTTTATCGATTCGTTGTTGCAGCCCTAATTGGGGGTATCACTGTTCTCAGCAGTCTTGGAGATTTTAGCAGAGCCTGCTGCTGTTTGTTGGGACTGACATATGACTTGGACCTGAGATACCCCAAGAATCTCAAATACAGTTTGGAGTTTTTCCAAAAGGTACTGCTGGAGCTGGATCCTGGAAACCTTTAAAACAAGCTACAGAGACTAAAAAATGATCAGCGTACCTAACTTTCTGACAGCTGTCCAACAAGATGCTCTTTTCATGCAGAAATGTTTTATTGGAAATAAGGATGCACGATATTGGGATTTTGGCCGATATCCGATATGCCGATATTTTAAAACTCATGTAGCCGATAACCGATATTACGACGAAGTATTAGGGCCACACATGAAGAGAAAAAATATTTTTGCCATGACGAGATTAAATTCGACATGTCGACTTTAAACTCGCCATTTCGAGAATAAAGTTGAAATGTCTTGTTGAGTTTAATCTCGACGTGTCGACTTTAAACTCGCCCTGTCGACTTTAAACTCGCCATTTCGAGAATAAAGTTGATATATCTTGGCGACTTTAATCTCGACATTCCAAAGTTTGGAGAAAAGAGCAACCGCGCTCCACAGCTGCAGTCTGCGTTTTAAGAGTGAAGGTAGTCTTTGACGTGCTGCAACTGTATAACTGTATAATCATCACAGAAAGTACAATTTGACCAAATCATCTACACAAGGCATGTCTGATTCTGGATTCTGTGCATGTATCCTGTGCAGCGGTTGGCTCTCTTGAACTAATTTCAACTTTATTGTCGACACGTCGAGATTAAACTCAACATGACATTTCAACTTTATTCTCGAAATGTTGAGTTTAATGTCGACATGTCGACTTTTAAAGTCGACATGTCGAGTTTAATCTCGTCATGGCAAAAATATTTTTTCTCTTCATGTGTGGCCCTAATACTCCGTCGTACGATATCGATACTGATTTTAAAGCTGGACAAAAATAAGTAGTCATTGAAAATAGCAGTTTTATTATCCATTTCTGACACTTTGAAAAATAATATATTCAAATATATTTTCATATGCTGATATCAAATTGATTTTTAAAAACGCGGTATCGATCTATTTTACTTTCAAAATCTCGTGAAATTTCATCGTTCTGTTACAAACTCTCGAGATATTTTGCAAATTCTTGTGAGATCTTGTTATTAAAATAGATTGATACCGAGTCAATATATCAACATATAAAAATATGAAAAAATTTCGGGGTATTTTGTAGCATAACGATGACATATAGCATTATTTCATTAGTAAAAGAGATTGATATGGTGTTTTTAAATGGCAATATATCAGCATATGAAGATATTGTGATATTTTAATGTATCAATATTTTTTCCCTCGTCTTTAGAAGTTTTTAAGTCTGTAAAAAAGAAGTTTTTCGAGGAAGAAGACGTTTTTTTTTTTGTTTTTTTTTTAGACTTTAGAAACTCAGAAGCTGATCAAATATCGGGTTAAATATCTGTTTGGTGGCCGTTGTCCGATATTCAGTTTTAAGGCCGATACAGGCCAATACCGATAGAAGGGCCGATTATATTGTGCATCCCTAATTGGAAAGGTATACTTGTTCTGAGGGTAACCTGGTTTAAAAGTTGGCTGATGTACTGTTTTACGGTTTACACACACACACACACACACGAGTCAGAAGATGTATTGTCTTAATGTTTACAGAGAAGAGTTTGTTGATGTGTTGTTTTACTCTTTACACACACAAGTCAACTGATGTATTGTCTTTAAAGGAGAACTCCGGCACAAAATAGACATGGGGTGTAATATAACGCGAGAAAACAGTACCATCGTACTACATGCTGAACCATGAGATTCCAAATAACAGTTCAGCTTGTAGCACGGCAAGCTTTACTTTCCATTATCATGAAAATAAATACCAGAGAACGGTTCAGAACGGTGTCAATGTGTTTTCTCCTTTAATGTTTACAAAGAAGAGTTTGCTGATGTGTTTTACTGTTTACACACACAAATAAGCTGATGTATTTTCTTATTGTTTACTGGAGTATTGCAATTGTGACTGGTTCTGTTGTGTAAGAGTTGTGGATATCTTTACACATTTAAACATTTGACAAATAAATGTCTAATTAAAATGTCATATTTGTGCAGTTGCTTCAATTTAGGGTATTGATGTGAAGTGTATTGTATTGTTGAACATAAAAGATAAATATAGTTAAAATATTATGTACATGTAACATATTTATTTTGATACTTGATAGTTAAATATAAATTAAATTCAGGTAAAACATTAAGTAAATGTAACACCTTTCTTTTGTTAAATTATACTTTTTCTTCCAGTTATATCTGCTTAACATTTTTGGTCATATCGACACAATTTTATTATTGGTTTTCACCAAGAGTTACTATTATATTGACTTAAGATTTTAATTGGATCTACTCAATTTTAACTGTCAGGATACTACATTTAGTTATTCACATGTACTTAATTTTTTTAACTTACATTTACTAAATTCATAAGTTATATTTACTTGATTTTATAGCTTTTAAATTTACTCAATGTTTTTAAGTGTAAAAATGCTGCACTGATTTAATGAAGTACTGTGCAGTATTATTTCTTTTCTATTTTCTAATTTCGTACATATATACAGCTTCAGCGATGTACCTGAGCCAGCTCCCATGTCAGAGGATGAAGAGAGCACATCCAGCCAGTCACAATCAGAGAAACAGGACTACACTAGAAAAACAGGCCTATCTCCAACATCTAGAAACAAAGGCGTTTATGGCAGCAGCTGATATTTCTATCCAGGGTGGTGTTACAGCCAAACAGGATAGGCGATGTACCTTACATATCTCTCAACCTTTTTTGCTTTAATATCACAACAGCAACAATTGAAGAGACGGATATATGTTTTTTTTTTTCTCTAGGGTTGGATTTAAATTATTTTACAAACTGTAAATTGGCAGATCATAAAGAAATCAAATTCACAAAACTGAAAGAATGCTTTCTTTTAACCATGACTTTATCATAATTCTTAGTGATGTAGACACATTCGATTGTTTTGCGTCTTAATTGTTTGTTAATGTTATAACCAAAAAATGTAGCTTTAATGTTTCCATAAACCGTCTGCAATTCTCTCTAAAAATGGGACAGATGTGGATGGATTGTTTAGATCATGCTTATTGTGTAGATGAAAGAAGATAAACGGTTCCCGCGAGTCCTTAAAAAGTCTTAAAAGGCATTGAATTCTTCAAAATAAAACTAAGGCCTTAATTGGTATTAAAATGTCGTAAATCAGTCTTTCGTAATTAATTTAAATTCAAAAAGGATTATTTTTATTAGGATTTATTTTTGTAATATAAATAAAACGTTAAAATTGAAAAAAAATTTTATTTAAAAAAAATAACGGCTTGTTGATTCCGTCCCGATAGTGTGTTGTGAATTGGTGCTATAGAAATAAACTGAATAGAATTGAATTGTACACATTTCTTTGTTTGATAAAAAAAAACTTCTATTTACAAGTTTACAGCAAGTTGGTTGGACTCTTAGGGGTCATGAAGAGGTTCAAGAGTTTTCAACTCAGGTCTGTTCTCTTCCTCTTCATATTAGGGGAAGATTTGTCTCCTGCAGCCTCTTCACTGTCTCTCTTCTTCCTCTTCAGGTTGGCATCCTGATCTGAAAGCAATAAAATAAGTTCAAGTACATTATTAAGCTGGTTTGGTCAAGATTTAAAAGCAAAGCACCAACTGATTATTATGCTGAAATTTTGTTTTTCATATTAATATTTGTATTATTTTTTATGGAAGTTTTCCTGCCATATATTGCATTCCAGCAATGATCTAATTTAGCAAAGTTAATGTCTGTAGCTGTGTGGGGTCACGGTGGTGGTGGTGAAATGATGGTTAGTGCCTGGGATGCTATAAAGTTAACATTTTAGTACCTTAGAGACATAGGCATAATTAACATTACTGTCAACAAGGCGGAAACATTTTTTTGCTAAGAAGAACGTTGTTGTCAGCACAAGCTAAAAGCTTTTACACATGATGGGATCACCAATTTGAAGTTTGTGTTTAACAAGAACCTATCAGAATAGATACTCTGGTATGTTTGCAGTTTAACAATTTTTTCTAAACATTTCAATTACTTTTCAAGCTTGGTCTGGTCTTCTTTTTTGGGGAGCTTTCATCAGGGATGGAGTCTATGTCGGCTTCATCTCTCGGCCGTTTTGGTAGAACTGACATCGATGGGATGGTTTGATCATCACAGTCCTCCTTCTTCTTTTTGGCTGGATTGCCTGCTGAGCTTCTACAGAAGGTAAACAAATGTCTGTTATGAACTTTTTTTGGTCTATAACAGTCTCTTTTAAGTTATAACATGGTTATGTTTCCCCCCAATATCATCCTCACAGAAGAATGAAGAAGCAGCTCACTAACCTGCTGCCTGATGCTGAGTCTTCATCTGAATCCAGTCTTCTTTTATTTGTAACGGAGTTCTCACTGCTAACAAGAAAATGTTCTTAAACTTCCATCTTTGTCTAATGCTGATTGTATAATCGAGCCTTTAGAGGCAGACAGACTTACTTGATGCTGTCGCTCATGAGATTTTCCATCGTTATAAATGGATGCTGAAGAATTTGACCAGGAGAGACTCTCTCAGCTGGATCCATCATCAGCATGTTTCTTACCAGGTCTAAGAAACTAGCCAGCTCCCTCTCATCCTCAGTTTCTTCAGGCGTTTTGGTACACACCTATTGTGAGATCAGAAAGAAACCATGAGAGAAAATCACCTCCTTTAGGGCACAGAATTAAGACATACATATTTTCCACAAACCTTTTTGAGGAAATCCAGGTTCTTCTGCTGAGCAGAGTTTAAGTTTTGAGTTTTAATGGCCTTCTGTAAAAGCAATGGCTGAATTAGACAAGTTCAAAATGCAGGAGACAGAATAAATTAAAGGTAAAGATGTCATACTGCAGGTCTGGTGTCTGTCTCTCTCTCTTCTCTGCAGGGTGTGATGGGCAGGTGCAGCTCATCTCTGTTAATTTTGGAGCCTACTTAAGGAGCCTGGACCAGGAGGAGGGCGTCAGTTCTTTCTCGCTACCAGCGTGGTATATGACCGACCAGTTTTCTCCTAGATTCGCGTTCAAACCAGATCTAATCCCGTGTCTCTGTTTTTTCCCTCCTAGCCACCAACCAAGCCAGTTTGCCGCAGCCCTCCTCCAGGAGCCCACCTGCCTGTCCACCCTCCTACAAACCATCACCTGAAGGGTAGAGAGTCAGTTGCTCCTGGACCCAGGACCAGCGGCGTAGGAAGCGGGGGGGACATGTCCCCCCCAATATAAAAGCCAGGTGGATATGTCCCCCCCAAAAAATTGTACCGCAAAATATTAGATTTTGACATTTTTTTAACTAGCGTGCTTTTATTTTGAAGGCGCAGCATAGCGTTACGTCACTGTACTCCCCCTCCCCTCTCTGAACTGCTGAGCGTTTGAGCACTCAGAAGGGAGGGAAACGGCGACACAGAAGTCAGAAACTTGTGAATGAGGTAAAATGGTCTGTCGGGATGCTGCTATGAATATTGCCTATTTATAACGTTCACTTTCATATGTAGAAACTGAATCTTTTTGGTTTAGTCATCTTAGTTTTGTACGGAAGAGGATTAGAGCCACTGAAAAAAAAAAGATTAACTGATTTTTAATTTTTTTTTAGTTTAACATGGGTCAAAAAGTCAGAATTCTGACTTTTCTCATAATTCTGACTTTAATCTCTGAAATCTGACAGATGATTAATAATTCTAATCAATTTACAGTGTTTATTTTTATTTTTTTTTGGGGGGGGGGGGGGGGGGGGTAGCTATACAGATATATAAAAACAAGAAGGTCTAACTAAAAAATAACCAGAATATATGTTTAGAGTAAAGATTGACTAGTGTTTACACAAGCACACAATTTCAAATCTGCTGAGCTTGCTGTGCAAGAAAATGTGAAATATACGTATAAAGAAATATAACAGGAAGTACTGCTAAAACAAACTAAATGTTAAATAATGTAGATATTGGTTTAAAAAATTCTTCAGATTTGGAAATTTGGAAGGAATACATAATTTTGAAATTAATCAACAAATCTGGTAAAAAAAAAAAATTAAATAAAAGTTGCACTTTTTTACTTGAGGAATTTGTTGAATAACTTCATAATTATGAGTTTAACTAGTTGGAGGTAATGCTACACTTCTCTGCTTACTGTCCTGCTCATAAAAGGTAAACATTATAAACCCACCATTCATTTTCTACACTATTTGGAAAACACAACACAAATGTAATATAACAAAATGTTAGCATCAAGCCATAGCCATGTCTGTTTTAGAGACTAGCTCTCTTGTTTTAATGACCTTCTGCTCCTCCATTAATGAGGGGACCCCTCGGGCACGTAAAAAGTTGCCTAATTCTGTCATTTTCCAACAATGTGTCACTGGCCACCTCAAACAACTCACATCTTTGTCAGTGAAGCTGAGTGCTCCACATCTCTGCCTTCATGGGGCCCATCTACATTAAGATCCAAAATTCTGAGATTAAAGTCAGAATTCTGACTGTTTTCCCGTATTAAACTGAAATAAAATTTAAAAATCACTTAACTTTTTTTTTTTTCAATGGCCCTATCCTCTTCCATAGTCTTGGGCTGATCACTCATCCAATATTTAACTGCTAACTTTCTCTAGACGTTTGCCACGCTAGCCAAAATGTTTTTTTGTTTTTTTTATACATCTCATTTCAGTACAATGCCACCACCAACTAAAAGGCTGAAACAGCAGTAGGACTTACTCAGATTTTTTAAAAAGAGAAACGTCAGTGTGAGTAACAGTCACCTAACACAACTTGTGTTGAAATTAGCCCGGTCTGGGCGTGCATTTTACGAGGATTTTTTATTTTTTGCGTGGTTTTGATTCCCCGAAATTGACAGATGTTATACCTGCCGTGCTCCTGATCGTTAGTTAAAACCACAGGGAGAATTAATTTTAATTCTTAGCAGCGGCGGCCGCATTAGTTGTGCAGTGGACTGCTGCACAACCACTAATTAACCACCTAATTAACTTCTGCACCTTTATTTCCTCAAATCAACTGCTGGCTCCTCTTTTTAGACTATAAACAGATTAACACAACATTGACAACTCTGTAGTTTTCTCTGTTCTGTACTGCAAACTGGAATTAAAGGCGCCATTTCTACCAAAGGTCTGGACAGACTGGCGACCTGTCTAGGGTGTACCCCGCACCAGCACCTCCTTGACCATTATTGCAAGTTTGACAAAATAAAACATATCAAACTTTGCACTTGTGTGGCCTACTGAACTGTTTTTAATCCAACTGACATATTAGATTTTCTAGTGTGATGCAGACACTAAATATGCCAAGGGCTGAAGCCCTTGAAAGACATCTCCCTTTGCTTAATAAAAGACTCCAGTCATTTTGTTTGGTGATATGCTCACATCTTATGAACAAATGCATTATGTAAATTTTAAATGCATTATTTTTGCAAGACACATTTATAAAGGAATAAAGTAAAAGATTAAATAGCCTTTTTTTTAAGTAGCGTACTTAAGATATGTTTCTGTTGAATATTTACGAATCTCAGATTTCCGACATCTTTCCCCCCCCCAATTGTAAACATATTCCTACGCCCTTGCCCAGGACACATCCTTCCAAGCTCAAACAACCTCAAGCCCCTTGAGTTCAGCATCCTCCTCCTTCCCTCCACCTCAGATCAGTTGTTCACCATCACCCAATCTTTTCTTTAGGCTGTACCAGGAAGATCCTGCCAGACTCCATTTTCTGTTCTTTGTTTTAATAAACTTTCCCTTAAACTGATCTAACTGTCTCCGTGGTTGCCCTGATTCAGAGTCGTTCTTCTCTCATTATGACAACAGAACAATGTTCAAAAATGACAAGTAGAGATTACCTTGAATGTCCACTCTCCTCCATCAGTCCTGGTAAAGAACGTTTCTGTATGGAGGCCTGAGTTTAAGAGGGTGTCTGGTGGATTCCCAAAGGCGGAAACAATGCGCTTTATCTAAAAGTACAACAAAGACTTGTGTCACAGCAGAACAATTTAAGTTTCAAAAGTAAACTTCAGTAAAGTTAATTTACTCATGTATTATAAACAGTATTGTGTTTTTCAGGAATTCCCTTCAAGGCGTAATACTGACCATATCCTTTTCATTTTTGCCAGGAAACAGGCCAGAACCAATGAACAGCTCCACTGCGATGCAGCCCAGGGACCAAACATCTGCAGCTGAATTAAAGGCGGCTCCCAGGAGGACCTCTGGGCATCTATGAGGAGATATGTTTAAAGATTATTAATCAGTCAGCGATTATCATCTGGCTGCTTTCTTCTTCAATTTATTTTAAAAGTTCTTCCTGAGTTCCTTAACTGAGGTTCTGTTAAAACCTAATTTAGAAGTGGTTAACAACAGAGATTCAGATTGTTGGTTCTAAAAGATCTGCTGACAGAAAATCCAAGATTTGCCAAGTCCACTGCTGAATTCCACCATCAGTGTGGTATGCTAACATTTATCTATCAACTTTTAGATTCCCTCAATATTTTATTTTAAAGTGTTTGTTTTTATTGGTTTATGTCAGACTAAGGCCCCTGTCACACCTTAACGATTTAGACCAGCGTATGCCTGACGTACGACAAATCTGGCAAAAATGCTGTCATACGTTGGATAAGAACTTGTCTCCAATGCATATCAACGTATCTGACGTGTTCCAGACGACCGCTGAACGTGATTCTAACTTACAGCTACTGTATAATGGCGCGTTGGCAGCGTTTTGGTATAAAAGGGGATCACCGGAGGAAACCTCCAGACTTCATCCCCACCGTAGGGTGAGAGTGATTGATGCTCCCTGCGTTCACACCCTCGACCACGACCAACAAACTTCGTAGCAGACATGACGCTGAATCTACTGCATCTGCAAATCTTCTTTCTTTCTTTTTCTTTATTCTTTTTTTTGGGCGAGCAATAAACAGCAGCTAGGTTAGTGCCGCAATCAAAAACATCTTTACATGTAGAACGGGGGCCTCTGGGAGCATCGCTGCCCCCTCAGGATACTGGCTTGTGACATTTCCCGTGTATTACGCAGCTGTGCGTTATGCATAAATTAGGCTGTCGCTGGCAATAAGTTCTGGAGTGGTTATGAATACTCTGTGTATACGCCCAAAATTGAAACAAATTCATAGAAAGTTCAGCGTATGCCAGCGTTTTAGAAGATTCTGGGACATCAGGCAAACGCTAAATCGGCAAGGTGTGACACGGGCTTAACCGATAGCCTTGAGTTGTTGACTGCAAGTAATGCTATTTGCTTCCTAGTTTTCAAAATAACTCCACTAAAAACAATCAGTAGTCCCTTTAACTGATTTGAATTTGAAGAAGCCAGAGAAATGATTGTAGGTAGCCATATATTCCTCATTATTTTCTCTTAATAATCCTAGGCAGATTGTGTCCAAAGTGACAGAGGAGGAAGTTGCAAACCTGAACTCCAGGGTCTGAAGAACTGCTCCTGTATGATTTTCAGGATATGTCACAGCTAAACCAAAGTCAATTATTTTGACCCTCATGGGCTGTTGTAGATGGTCCTGGATCATTATGTTTTCTGGCTTTAGGTCTGCATGGACAATCCCAACACTCTGAAGAAAGTCCAGAGCTATGGCAAGCTGAAAGCAAGAGCAATTATGAATAAACATGGTTATTTTAGAAGAACTGCTTTGCTTCATTCATTTGACTTCATTAAAATGACCAAGAGGGTTAATTCACGTGCCTCTATTTTTACAAGGTTAGCAACTTTATCAGTCTTCATTGATTTTCATGAAAATGTTTGGCTTTAAAACTGTTACAGAAGCTGCAATAACACGTGAGGAACAACACATACTGTATACATCATTAGGTCGTTTTTCATCTCTTTTCAGAACATAAACCAACCTGTTGCAGAATAGGACGAAGTTCCTTTAGGTTCAGGGTCTCAGGTGACCTCATGCAAAGGAAGTCAAACAGATCCATGTCCAGCTTTTCAAAATCCAGACAGTAACGTCCTCGATGGGCAAAGGAGTCGTTCAACGTGACGATGTTGAATTTGTCAGAGCCCAGTCTTTTTAGGTACTGAAGCAGCTCCACCTGGTTATGAGAAATGCATTAACTTTTTAAAAAAATGCTCACGATAAAATAATATACAATAAATGATAGGATATTAAATATGAGTACTGTATTTATACCTGTACAAATAGAGTAGGATATTAAATACATTACCTTAGAAATATTTATTAACCTAATCATAAATAATAGTTTTAAAACGTTCAGTTAATTCGTTCTTTATTAATATTTTGTTTTGATAACAAATCCTACATAAAGATTTTCTATGAAATCTAAAGTTTTTGGCTCAGTTCCATTTTGCCTGCCATAGGGAGGCAACTATTACTATTCTGTGGACAAAAATATATCTTTATGTATAGCTTTAAATATATGCAGTAACACAAGCCAATTTTTATTTATTAACATTAGATAATAAAAATTATCTAAAGCTAGATGAAAGAAAAGGATCTTGGTAATAGATTACAGTACAAACAAAACAAAACAAAATGTATATTGATCAGTCTTGCTATCCTTTAACTCATAAATTTAGATTTGAAATGAAATATATGCATTTAAAGCTATTTTGTTTCTTCCATCAATGAGAGAGCATTTCATTACCTCTTTCTTTGCCATTGCAATGTCTTCGGTGTGTTTGAAGACTTTTAAAGCCACTGTCTCATTGCTGGACCGTTTCTTGCACTGGAGGACCTCTCCATAGCTGCCAGAGCCTAGAAATTTCTGGACCTCATAGTCCGAGGATGGAGATGAAATGCAGTCTTCCATCTTCAAAGGTTGAAGGTTCACTTGAAGATCTAAGGATTCTCTGCTGAAATGAGACAATTTGTAAAAGAACGGTGAAAAGAAGTACATGTAAGTTTACCAAAGGTTCCTGTGTGTTTAAGGCAGAGACTGACGGTAATAAAATTCATGAAGGGTTACTATATTAAAAGCTGAAGCTATGAATCTAGATATCATACTTGAAAAATGTTACATACAGTGTGTACCGTCACATTAGGTAACACTGCATGTAATGAAATCATTCCAGTTTTTACTAGTTTCTAAGTCTTACATTTTGCACTGGTTTCCATTTAGTCTTTGACTTTATGAATATTCAGAACATTTCATTGCGATATGTGAAATATTACACACACATACATCTACTAAATGCTTTTAAATCTATTTACCACTCTTAGAAAACACAATTTTAGCCAAAAACATCCAATTTCACTTAGTAAATATGAATTCATTCACACCCTCACTGTAACCTGTGAAGTGATACTATAACATTGCTACCAGCAATATATTCAGCATAATTCTGAAGAAGCATTTACCACACGGTTGTTGAGACCACAGGAAGTAAACAGGGATCCGATTAGGGAAGGTTTCTTCTCGAAAATGAGCACAATTTTCTTGAGTCGATGCTTTGGCTAGCAGAGATTCAATAAAAATGTCTTCTGGAACAAATTCTATTGTAAACAAGTCTGCTGGGCAGCATCTTTTAAACGGAACTCAAATCCGTTTAAAAAATGCTGCCCAGAGTAACTTCCGGAAATAACTGCCACAAGCAATCAGCCAAAATTTAAAAGTTTATGGAATTTAGTTACTATAGTAGCTATTCTAAATTTCCCCACTTTCCTTGATGGGCCCTTGGCTGGGCCTTGACTGGCCCCCTGATACTCCTTTTTATACATCAATCTTTGTATTAAAATAATATTTCTATCACGATTTGGTGACATTAAGGTCCAAAGAGAAGCGTTACATCCTGGTCAGACCCTGTAATTCAGTGAAAAGGTGTGGAGTCAGAGTAAAAAAATGTGCATGCCCAGGAGAAGACCAGTGGCTGGAAGTTGGATGGGATTTCACAGGCAGCTGCAGGGAAGTAGGCTGCCATTTTGATGGCGTTTTAGTGGGAACGGCCATTTTGACCCTTTGTTATGAAAAGTAGGGCTAGGGGCTGTATTGATGTTGTGCTATGGTGCTCAGATATATTTGTCTTTATTCTGTAATTCTTAACAAACATATTCTCTTATTCAGACCCTTTCATAGTTTGTTGAATTCCACCATCATTAAACATTGTTTACTTTCTAAGAATACATGAATACACCAATTTAAGATTTAAAGGAGTCATGCACTTCTAAATAATAGTATAATACATTTAATATGTATTATTGCTATATATGTTAAACTTAGCACACCACTTATTTTTAGATCGTATCACGTTACTGTCAGGACTCCTGTTTTGTGTTTCTGTGTTTGTCTCCCTTCATCCACCAGGAGGCGCCTGGTTCTGGTCTGCCTCCTCACACACCTGCTGATGGTTTCCTCGTTAAACGAGTGTTCTTAAGCTGCTGACTGCCACTTCGACGCCAGAGTGTTTGCCAGTTTAGGGTACTCTAGCCAAGCTGAGTTTGAAGAGTTAAGCTGAGTTTTTGTCAACCTGAGTTTAACTTTGTTTTGTCTTTGCCTCTTGGCAGGAAGTTGTCCTGCTAACTGGATCTCTCGGACCTTCACATCCTGGAAGGATCTACTGAGCTACAAAATGTAAAAGTCTTTGAGCAATATTTTCAAGTCTGGACTTTGTTGGACTTTGTTCCCAAACTAAACTGTCCCTCAAAATCTATTTTGAACTATCTAGGCTGATTGGAAACAAGTAATAATACCCACAGCCAGCCTGAGAGCTGGACCCTGCAAGCCTACAGCAGATAAACAATGATACCTGGAAAATGCAGGAATTATCTTTCCAACAATGTCGGTGTATCTTATGATATATCTAAGCATAAAAAAATTAAGTGGTGGGGTTTGTATTTTTTTTTATATCAAATAATATGATTAAATTCCACAGCTCTTAAGCGGATGTATCTGGAATATTAAAATTGTCAAAGTTAGAAGGAACTGAAATGGTAATAAAATGATTAACAATCTGTATGCTGAAATGTAAACACGTTATTTCAAAGGATTTAAAGAGAACAAAAAAAAAAACTCAATTAAGACAAAATGAAAATCTTTTTTCTTTTCAACCGTTATAAAAAAAAGTTAAGATAAATGGGAATTTCATACAATTTTGTCACAGTGTATACACATTTTTATATTTCAATACTGCAGAATGTTGGTAAGAAAAAGAAAACAACATTTTAATTAAACAAGTATAAGTATATATAATGTGCTTTGTGTTAATCTACTGAAACCCAAATCAATGTTGGGGAAAACAAAATAATCTGTATGCAATTAAACCAAATACAACACATTGGTACATAAAAGTTATGACATGTTTAAAAACAAGCTATACTGAACCTTACCAGCTACAAGAAAACAATAATCATGGAGGCTGTCATTGATTGATTGATTGACTTTATTGATCTCACGGTGGAGAAATTTACTCTTTACATCAGCTAAAATAAAAAAAGAGAAGAAAATGGTGCCAATGGTCGAAAAATTCCGTTTAATTTCAATTAGGTTTATTTCTATAGCGCCGATTCACAACACATGTCATCTCAAGGCACTTTACCGTTCACCAGATCGTACAGTCAAATTGATTGAAAGTTTTCTATCTAAGGAAAACCACTGATTGCATCGACATTGACTCAAAGGCAATCCCTCACACTAAGCATGCTTGTAGCGGCCATCTGCCGAGGTTCAAGGAGACAGAAGCAGAGATACATAAAGCAGCTGTAAAAGGCGGCCCCGTCCAGGAAACACACAGCCAGGCAGATGAGCTCCGAGCCAACTCCCACGTCTAAGGATAAAGAGAGCAAATCCAGCCAGTCACTGAAAAACAGACCAATCTCCAATATCTATAAACAAAGGTGTTGATGGCAGCAGCAAAAATTATATTTCTCTCCAGGATTAAGTAACAGCCAAACAGGAACAGACGAGGCAAAGATACTATGAGAAAAAGCAGAATGTAGAATGTTAGAGATTGAACTAACAGATTCTGCAGGGTGGGAGAATAGAAGTAGAATGAAGCAGAATGATGAAATGGGGATCCCTATGTCCTCCAGCAGTCTAAGCCTATAGCAGCATAACTATAGAGATAGCTCAGGATAACCTGAGCCACTCTAACTATAAGCTTAATCAAAAAGGAAAGTTTTAAGCCTAGCCTTAAAAGTAGACAGGATGTCTGCCTCATGGACTAAAACTGGTAGTTGGTTCCACAGGAGAGGAGCCTGATAACTAAAAGATCTGCCTCCCATTCTACTTTTAGAAATTCTAGGAACCACTAGTAAACCTGCAGATTGAGAGCGAAGTGCTCTGTTAGGAACATAAGGAACAATCAGATCTCTGATATAAGATGGAGCTTGGCCATTTAAGGCTTTATATGTGAGAAGGAGGATGTTAAATTATATTCCTGATTTAAAAGGAAGCCATGAAGAGAAGCCAGGATAGGAGAGATATGATCTCTCTTTTTAATTTTCATCAGAACTCTGGCTGCAGCATTTTGGATCAGCTGAATGCTTAACTACAGTTTGTGGACTTCCTGATAGTAAGAAATATAATGGTCCAGCCTTAAAGTAACAAATGCATGGACTAGTTTCTCTGCATCATCGCTGGACAGGATGTTTCTAATTTTTGCAATATTCCTTAGATGAAAAAAGGAATTTCTACTAACCTCTTTGAAATGGGATTTAAATGTCAGGTCCCGATCAAAAATAACACAAAGATTTA